AAAGAGAGAGAGGGAAGGAGGGAAGGAAGGAAAGAGAGAGAGAGAGAGAGAGAGAGAGAGAGAGAGAGAGAGAGAGAGAGAGAGAGAGAAAGAAAGAAAGAAAGAAAGAAAGAAAGAAAGAAAGAAAGAAAGAAAAGAGAAAATGAAACTGCCTAAATTTTCAAGAGATACCAATTTATATATTCGTTCTTAGGGTAGAGAAGAGAAAATAAATAAGTAAAAACAAAAATTATTTAAAGGAAGCAACTTTCAAAGAAGGCTTTACATGTTTTATAAAAAGCTGACATGGGCACATTTATTAAGCTTTTACAAAGTGCCCTTGAAGACGACAGGACTGAAGGACAGATCTGGTTCTTAGCCTACAGAGGAACCAAGAGAGAAGGAGGCAGGGCCCTAGAATCAGCAGGAGAAACTAGAAAATGAACGTCCATTTTGAATCATTGTAAAAATTAGTTTTTCTAAATAATGCACTTGAGTTTAAAAAAAGAATCGTCAGTAGAGACGTGCAGGTGTTCTCTGCATGAGAATTTAAACTAAAATGTGCCTGATTTCTTTTATTTATTATTACTTTTTAAAATTTTAGACTGAGTTTCCCTAAATCCCCAAGAGGCGCTGGATGGGTTCCCGCCTGGGACCCTCCAGCCTTGCCCCTGCTACTCAGCCTCTCAGGGACTGGTTTCATGTGACATAGAGGCAAATTTATGATTCTTATTTAAATCAATGTTTCTAATTTTATTTTTATTTTAAAAATTCAGGCCATTAACTTTAGATTAATATTCCCACAAAAATCACATTGTTTTTCTGATTAGTTTTATAAATTTAAATTATGACCTTGATACCTATGACAACACATTTTCAATAAAAAGTTATAAAGTTGGAGGCCTGCCCCTTAGCTCAGTTCTTTAAGTGGCTGCTTCAACAAAGCAGTCAGGCTCAGGTTGCTGTGGTTTGATCCCCACAACACAAGCCAGGCAGTCATGCCTTGAAGGCATTCGGAGAAAAAAAAAAAACAAAACACTTCTGCCATTTGGGGCCGGGGAGATGGCTCAGTGGAATAAGCACTTCCCTGGCAAGCGCAAGGGCCTGAGTTCAATCCCCGGTTCTGAAAAAAAAAAAAAAAAAAAAAAAAGTTATAAAGTACTATTATCTCAACTTAGGTGCTTAGATTACGAATGTATTTTAAATTTTAGATGTTTCCCTTTATTTCTTTTATCCAAGGGTATAGCCAAATATATAAAGGGAGATTCATCAAAAACTTACACAGCTTCATAAATACAATTTGACTATTCAAAAATCAATATTTTAGTCCTATTGTAATTTTTTCTAAGGATATTGTTACTTACAAATAAATAATAGTAAATCATCACCCTTGGAGCTGAATTTATATTTCATGACAATCTTTGGAGGTGTGTAACTTTTTGAATTTTTTTTACGCCACTGCAAATTTCATAATCACTGAATATTCATTTAAATATGCATAATATTATTTTTACATGGCTGGTATTTGTTCTTTATTTTGAAAACCAATGTTGATTTTCTATTCTAAATGCCTATCTTTATCAAACACATTCTTGGTCACTGAACAAACATGTATAACAAATAACTTATCTAAATAAATACAGAACATTGAGTACACGTCTACATTTCAAGCAATGTTAAACATGTTCTCCCAGAATAAATCTCTACTAAGTTAGTCTTATCAAAATATAAAGCTATTGATTAGTGACTATATTTAAGATTAGAATCCATTAAAATCAGCCTATCTTGTTCATCTCATCAACTGAATGTTTCATGTCAATCAGAAAAACACAAACTGACCACAGGGAAAAAACTCAACACTGAAAAGATGAATGATAACAAATAAATGATAAATTGAAGCCCTCCATGCACATGTAATACACTAACAAAGATCTAACAGGCCTAGGCCCACTCCTGGAGAAGAGAACTAACAAGGACAACTTGGTGGGCATTTCAAGAGAATAGTTTCAACATCAAAAAAGTCTCTTGAGGACTTGGAGGTAGCTCAGCAGCCTAAGTGCCTGCCTAGCAAGTGCAAGGACCTGAGTTTGATCCCTGGTACCACATGCCATCCTGGCCCCACCCCAGGTGCAATGAGACAGCCACTGAAACCGGACATGGTGTAACATGCCTATAATACCAGCATTGGGGAGGCCTAGACAGGAGAATCAGCATGAGTCCAAGCAGAGTAGCAAGACTCTTTATCCAATGAATAATATTTTTTAAAAAAAGGATCGCTTGAGAAAACGAGTGAATCATTTAACTATCCTTACTAAGAGAAATCATTTTAAAACACCATAAAATCAAGCATGAAGTGAAAAAAAATCAATTTTATTATACCATATTTTCATAAAATATCTGTCTTACACCCAAAATAGGAAAAAGAAAATAACCCCAACATTTCATTTACTCTTTCTGAGGTTTAAATTACTAAGTAAAATACTCTGAATTCTATTTCATATAAGATAAATCAAACTAATAATACAAATAACCATTTACCAAGATAAAGTCAGTATCACACTTTCCTTTCTCCTTGTTACAAAATTTTGTTCCTCTAAGTAGAGTCACTCTCTGTGCTCTTTTTCCAGAACTTTAACCCTCAACTATGGACAATTCCATTTCAGACAGTAAAAGTTTGTATTCAAGTCAAATGATATGGATGACAAAAGAAAAAAATATAAAAAACAGTGTTGTCAACCATTGCTGGAAGACTCAAATTAAGAAAAATAATAAAGCTCTGGCTGACTCTTTTGTCTACCAGCAAGAGCAGGAACATATCTCTAATTGAACAATGCCCAAAATAATCAAGATGATTGAATCTTGAGTTTGTAGCAAAGAAGTATAGTTGGCCATGCTCAAAGTACATCTCTGAAAAGAAACTAAAGAGATTTCTATGCTAGTAACAAAGTCATAGGCTATAAGCATCCACAAAGCTCAGCAAAAAATAAATGAAAACAATAGAACCATGGGAAGTAAAAGCAACAAAATCTCTCTCCAGACCTGCTCTTCCAAAAAACCAACATGGGGCCACCAAGGTCAGAATAGTATAAACCACACACCCGAATTACTCAAAAGTATAACCTAGCAAGATAATAAACACCTCACAAAGATACTCACTGGGATTAGACAAGATATACGAGGTATACGAAATAATAACCAAAAAGATTTGAGCAGCATTAAGAGGGCACTAATAAAACAAAATGCTAAAAAAAAAAATGCAAGAATGACCAGTTTACCAAAAAATTAGTTTCCATGATAAGGTTTGAATTAGAAATCCAAGACATCAAAAATCACATTGAAAGTATGGGCAGCAGGACGGACAAATGTGAGGACTGAATTTCAGAACTAAAAGACAATGATGCTCTCAATGACCAACTCCTCAAAGACACCGTAATTACAAAAGAAAATGAAAACATTAATCCAATAACTGATAGATAATTCAAAGAAAAC